AATTCGCAAATTAAACTCGAACTGAAAAATAAACGGTCAAAGAGTTTCTATGCGAACCAGTAGGGTGGAGTAGGATGTACACGGAAGCAGCAGGGCGTTCATAGGCGGAACCACGTACACTTGCCAAATTTCAAGAGAAAGCAGAGAGGTGATTCCCAGGATCATCTGGGTACATGGGTCTGTGGGTTTGCTTGCCGGATTGGTTACACCTCTAGTTTGGTTTGTTGAATTCTGGGGGTGCCGTGAGGGTCTTCTTATGGTTTCTCAAAGGAATACCCAAACTTTAATTATTAAAATTGACTAATTGGTTGTTACCCAGCTATTATCTTGCTTTGTTTCTCTTCATTATCCTTTTCACTCCCTTATTTTGGGTTGCAGGAAGATACTGTCTAAAATTCCTCGGTCTACAATTCAACATGTGTACAGGCAAACTAATCAGTGTGCAGGTCATCTTACTGTTGTGACCCATTTGATGTGAATTTTGTTGTTTTTGAGCCTTCTCCGACGGGCTTCTTTTGTATTATAACGCTGATGTGATGGGATCCTGTTTTCTCATGCCATAGGGTATTTGTCCTATTGCAGTTTAATACATTCTCGTATTTTCACAAAAAAAAAAAGAAAAAGAAAAGGTTGAATTACTGGTACTAAAAATATGTATATAAAAGGAAAATGAAGTCAGCCCCTACGCAAACCTAACCATAACATAGGCTAACTAGCTACGGCATTTCATAAACTACTATAATACCCAAAACATTTAATAATAAGCTTGAAATAATCAGCATCTTTTTCCACCCATTTTTTTAAATTTGAATCGAGATCTTGTCGGAACAGGCGACTGTCTCACCGTTCTCGTCTCATGACTTTCCTCATTTTTCTTTTGGATACGGTCTCACAACTTTCTTTAGAATGGCAGAAAGATATATTTTTATATAGTTTTATATATTATTTAATTAATAATTAATTTTTTTATTTTATTAAACTGATAAAATATTAAATAAAATATAAAAATTATATAAATTGATTGTTGTCATGTCATTTCTCATTTGTAAAATAATTGATACACATTTTAATTTAACACATTGTGTGATATATTTATTAAAAAATTATTATTTTTTA